CCCAATATTACTATATGGATCAGAAACCTGGCCGCTGCGCGCCGAGGACGTCAAAAGACTTTCAGTGTTTGACCATCGATGTCTCGGAGCATTGTCAATGCATAGCTCCTTTTCCAACCCCCCCTCCACTTGACAGCCCACTGTACCTATCCCCTCAAAACATCGGTGAACGAAACTGCGGCAGCTACAACCACTGTACGACGAGCACGCGGTTATTACAGCTGACAGTGATTTGCGTTTTTCGGTGTCACTGTCGAGTTATGTAGGCGAAAAACATTAGCTCAGGCTGTGTGTTACAGCCAAACGGTATCTTCGAGTGACGCGTAGTACCAGAACCTCCGGGGAGGCAAAACAAAGTCGGGGCTGGATTTCTGAACGTAAACATAACGTAAAACATAAATTCAAAAAATATACAAACTTCGACGATAGATACTTGTCCGCAACAAACGATCCACTTGGAATACAAAGGTACAGACCAAATGAGCAGTCTCCCACGTCACACGTGCATAAGGTTGGCCACAAATGGATAAATGACCTCAACGTTAAATGAATGAAGTGGCAGGAACAAAGACGCCAGTTCATTTGCACACACAAAAACACAAAGGTGGATCGGGGGTAGGGACAGAATAAATGTGGGGAATTTTAGATGTCAAAGTAATGGACGATATAATGCGATTGGAGCTACATATGCTCTTAAGTTTGTTTGCTCAGTTGGGTGATTTGATGCACACGTTTCACCAACACACAACGACGAGGCATCGGGAAACGGGGATAAACAAAGTGCATTTCTGAGCTAATTCGGTGTTTGACCAAACAACCTGGCAGGTTCAATGGAGGTTCATTTTCACCGAGACATTGTTTGCCCAACACCATGCTTGATAGAGGTGATCTCAGCTCCGAAATTTACTGCCAGGCAACAGCGTTGCGTGCTAGAGTAAAATGATCGAGAGAATTGTTCCCAGACACTCTGGAATAATCGGAAAATGTTTGCAAAAAAGCGATTGTTTTCTGACGTTCCTCGACGGATCAAACAATTCAAAAACGTGTTTCATGAGGATTCATTTCTGGAGGTATCAAACGCATCCCTCCTCGACATTAGCATCATGAGCATTCACAACAACGCCAGATAAGAACGATCCCGCACAACCATATCAATTTATTTAAGCCCTATACTATAATGGAAGAGAAAAAAGGGATAGGGGGGAACTAGGGCTAGTCTACCACACCCATCCGAGGTGCTTTCACTCCTAACACTCGGTCACGTGAAATCACAAAATGAGCGTCACTGACATCCGTTAGCCACCATAT